GGGTTGCATAACGTTGGCATCGATGTAACTTCATCAGTCTTTCTTCATCGATCAAAATCGATCGGTATCAATCGATGTTGGGGAACGATCGATCGAACGATCGATCGATGTTGAAGAACAATCGATGTGCTGCTTCTTTTTTTGGCAACCTTGGCGTTCCATAGGTCACAACTAAAATGCCCGATCGTAGGCGCCAGTAACTCTACAGCTACCATTTAACGATCTGTTAACGAGTTTTTGCCGTTCATGTTAAGGAGATAACGAAACCATTAACCTTCCTGCACATAATGTTGCTCTGTAAAGACTGGGTGATTAAAACGCCACAACAGTGCATCACGTAGCAAAATATACGCACAAATAATGGTCATCAACATTAAGTGTTATTCTCCCTGAAAGCTTCTGAAACTGAAAGCAATAAAATGCGCACTGCCACCAGTTCATCAATATGGTCCCCGGATTACGTCTGGACACGTCTACGTCTGAACTCTTTCAAAGTATTATGTGAATGGCAGGCGAACCCAGTAGTTCTGTTAAATAACATGCAATGTTGTGTACTTGGTGGATCTGATCTGTGGTTTAGTTCTTCAGATACATTGCCTTGTGAAGAGGGTCTCTTTGCAGAAATCTCCCATTCTATAACTTGTAGTTGAAAAGTGACCATGTGTCCCTGCCATTTATAATTCATTTTAATATGTGGACTTTAAAAGGTGTTTTTAGTTGTGTGACATGTTGTCTGCTTACTTGCATTTTCTAACCTGTCACTTTTTTGCAAAGTCCAATGTTACATTGAGGCTTTCTTCCCAGGACAGCATCACAGTTGTGCTCATGAATATGGGAATACTCAATTCAATTCACTTGATTTCTACAGTATCAGTAGTCAAATAACATATGGTATATACATGTTCACAGAGTTAGCAGTGTAATTTATAGATACTGCAGGGGAGCCCTTTAGGAAGCTGTAAGCATGAAAACTAAGAAGGAATAAAACACCCTTTGAAAATAGGGAAGCAAAAGTTGAAAGTAAGGTCAACTTCGACAAAGGTTTACATGAAAACAAAATGATTGTAGCTATAATTTGAATAAAAATTTGCAAATTTAGACTGCAAATTCAATGAATATTCAAACTTTATTTACAGATCACGTGGTCGATTCATCGTTTATGCGATTCCACATAATTTTATGTAAGTCTGAGTACAAGCCATTGTTGGAGCAAAGCTTGTGATACACAAGACCAAGACTTTGATCCGCAAGCCCATAAGACCCGCAAGCTTAATAAGACCCTGAGACCCGCAGCCTTAAGACCAATGAAGGCTTAACCCTTAAGATCAAGGCCCCCGTAGTGTAAAGTTAGAACTACATCTATACAAGGTGTCATCATAACAAACCATGACTTAAGTATCGTCGATTAGTGGATATTTTTTAATGCCAGCGTACTTGTTATTTTTTTACAGTGATTAAAATCCTGTATACAATGAGTTCTAAACGACGTGTTCAAGATAAGATCACGGCGTGGAGAGTTAGGTAATTATAATTAGCATAACAGTTTCCGAGCGCAGTATTCTCAGAGACTTTATCTTAAGTCCACACTATAGATCAGATGATGTTCTACAATCCTGGCAAAAATTGTTTGGACGCATATCAACAAAGTTACCTTCAAAAGGTCCACCTATCCCCCGGCCAATGTTGTTATCTCGAGCAGGACCGCAGGCCGCGCATTGAGACCCCATGATTGAGAGAGGGGCCGACAAGACTTGGCCAGGATAGATATGATCGTACTGTGACTGGGACCGGCCATTTCGTGTTTTTTTTTAATTAACCCCAGCAACAAAATCAAAAGTAACAATTATTTTTTAACTACCCTACGTATTTATTGAATGATCACTCAATACAATTCCATAACAAGGAAAAGTATAACATGAATAGAGTTATTTGCATCCAAACTGATGGTAATTATCTTTAGAGGCCTCAGAATCGAGCTCCGGATGCGATGTCTCATTTGGTTTTTCCAAGGTGATGAGCTCACAAGATATATATTTCGCATGCACATACAGCCTTCATGTGTAGAGAAATCCTGACAGTATTTAATCCTCCGAATTCAATTATTTTTATATAAACCAGAGTGACTTTGCGGGGTAAGGGCTACTGGAATGTTTATATGATTGTAGCCAAACCGCGCACTGGGCAGTGACATATGTATCCAGGTTGGGGGGGAGGGTAAAATGGATTTTATTTTCTAACGGATTGTCCACATTTTTCCATCCTTACAATAATAATTCTCTTCCAAAGAAAGGTGCTAGTAAACTAGTTAAAAATAAACAAACAAAACCAAACAAAAACAACGTGGCCATACTGTATTATCCCCAGTCACTGCAATGAGGCAATGACCAACTATATATTTCAGAAACCCGAGCTATCTTTCAAAGACATGTTTAGTAGTGACTTCTGACCAGTCGGCGGTCTCATAAGATAGGACGTCACAGAGTAACCGTCTGGTTAAGCAATTGCATGTCGGGCCTTGAATTTTTACATTCCACATATGATTCAGTGGGAAACTTTGAAGTGCGCATGTGTGATGTTGAGGGTAATTTGCATTTGTAATGCGAGCTATGACAATTCGTGCCGTGCAAGCAAATGTTTCATTTCATCAAATCTACATCTGTTTTTTACTTTTTTGAAATAACAATGCCAGACCAAAAATATTTTAAAAGTAGGATTAGGTTAAACTAGTGATTTTTACCCAAATCTTTTCGAGAGCAGTAGTTTGTTTTCATTTTGGAACAATTTTGAAGGTCTGAAACAAAGAATTCAAAGTTTTTCTGGATTTCCAAAAGTAAGCTGAGGGGGAGAAAGGTGTGAAGGTTTCAGGTTTGTTGACAGTTTTCCCCTAGATTTTCTTTCTCCTCCCGACTGGTTTGCGTTTGGCTATCGACCTAAACTCAGCACCACTTACGTTAATTCCCGCATTTGTATGCTCTAACGGGCGTAGTCATTATGTGGTTCGGGGATTCAAGACGAAGACAAAAGTCTATTCATAATTGAAAGTATAGTTCATTATTGAACCGAGGTCTATTTGCCATTGTAACATCCACAGTATTAACCCAGGTGCTACATATACTACACATATTAATTGGCGGTTCAAAATAAGTAAACTCAAGTTTGAGGTGATTGCCCACGCACTCCCTTTTATTCCTGAATGTTTGTGTTGACGTAATGTCGATGAGGAGGGCGTTTAGAAATAATCCTGAAAAAACGGTAGGTTAGCTTGCTTGAATCTCAAGATATCAACTGTTACAGATGGCATGTACAAAACTGGCTTGTCCGCACGTTGCTGAATCTGTTTTGTACATGCAACTTAGCTGGCGCAATCGGTATTATTATGACCCTCCAAAATTGCATTTTGTTTTTCAAGGCTTCGGCTAGCTCTAGTCGTCGGCAAATTTATCTTAAGTTTGTGCCTCCTTCAACAATGCAATGCTTAGAATTTGTCGAATAAACGACACTTCGTCTTGCAGTGGACTGCAGTTACCTCAGTGACTGCGCGCGATTGAAACACGGTCATGGTTGGTCACTTGTACGTCAGTCAAAAACCGTCCCTGCATAAATCAATAAATGGGGCAACTATCCTTGTATTATGGCTACGTGTCCTGAAAAACGTGAGATTAAATTGCAGTCTCGAAATTGCATCTTTAGCTTATTATAACAGTAGCCTATTTTTATCACTTAACCGTGTGTTTGGATGTTTTTACGACCCGTTAATATAGACTCCCCTAACAGCCAGACACATCACACGCATCTTATATATTACACGTTTTAACGGTTGCGATATTTAAACGAATTGTATTATCAAAAGATCGTTGAATTTCTTTCCTTAGTGATGTAACTGATACCTATTGTTGAAAGTAACGATTGTTCAATTAATTTTGCAGTTTCAGAGTTTTCACTTTCGGCGTTTAATGAGTTTGTTTCAGATGAAACAACTTGAGTTGAATTTGGGCAATATTTATTTAAACAAAAATAATGTATTTCCATTCTGGTTTTGACTTACTTTTTCCGTCCAAGATATACGACCATAATCTTCTTCATAGCCCAAATTTTATATTTATAATCCACTTCACTGATCACATTCGGTGCCTAAATTATTGCTTACAAAATAACTCGCACCTTACTATGTCTTCATCCGTCTCTGCATTTTCGGTGTCTGGAGGAAATTGTGGAGTTGACCAGCTAGGGTAAGTAATGTTTGACGATGGCAAGTAAGAGCTGTGGTTTCATCTCTATCGGGATTTAAAATCATTATTCTTTTCAAGACTATTGTAGTAATTGAATGTACTTGCTCTTAACAGAGATATTTTGAAAACTAAATCTAAAGGAAGAAACTGAACAGTTCTCTGGGGGTCACTGGTAAGGGAAATCGTGCCTCCCTTTTGAACGATTCCCGTAACGGTTGAATAGACCACATGAAATGTTTTCTTTTTATCTTGAATTTTGATAGACAACCAATCGTTAAGACAGTTGATGTCCCCGTCAAGCCATCAGTATTTACTTAACGACGTCTTTGGCACATGATATCAAGTCCAAGTTAACCTTTATGTTTCTTCAATGCTTATTCAAGAATGAAATGAAATAAAGTGTGCCCCGAAAATATTTTATTCATATTTTAGCACACTGTGCTCACTCAGAAAAAAAAATTTTCGGAATTTTATTTTAAGTCAGGATAACATCACTAGGTCCTTCTTGTCTGTTTACCTTTAGACAGGAAGTACAGTTAATCTACGTCTAAAATTTTTTTCCATTAAATTCCTGAAAAAAAACCCTGAAAACATCTCATTCTTTTTACTCTTCTCATGGCACCATCAAATGTTTCAGTTGTGAACTGTCCGGCATAGAGCGTTTTTCTGGCAAAATTGCCGTACGCTGTATTTGAAAGATCTGATACCCAAATGCTCAACAATGTAACTTAAACCGAAGGACGTGATAGAAATTAAAAGCATTTCATTTACCTCCAATCTCTTCAGCCAGACCAAAGAGGCAGATAACTAAAACAGTGAACACAGATTTCTCCATTGCAGATTTGTTGTCTCTAGTAGATGCTTTCTTACGCGCGTTGTTTGACTGTTACATGAGGTGATACTCGCAGACAGACAAGCAGTGGCATTGCTTATGACTGCAGGTATGACAGGATTATGTCTCCATATTAAGTCTCCATGGTGACTGATTGAGGTAGTCTAAACTATGCACATACACAGAATTACTGTATGTAGCCTACCGTGGTGTTTGATGCGCCCTCTTACGATATTATCATGGCCATGCGTTACTCTTTGCGTTACTGCGTGCGATGACCGTCATGATTCCTGATGTCAGTGTTACAAAAGTTCTGACAGAAAATAGTCACACAATAATCCCGAATCAGCGTGTGTTATAATGGTGTAATCTCCAATTTATCCAGCAAACTAAATTCATTCTTTGCATGTGGTCATTGGCTCTCAGGTGAGTTATAATTATTAGAAAATAATATGATAAAAAATAAGTAAATACCTTCCCGCGAAGCCGATGGGTCTGTTTGTGTTTCGGTAAAAGTTCCAGAGGCTAACGTAAAGCGTACCGTCCAATGCATATTGGGACCATGTGTACATAAAAGAGGCGTAACTTAGACATGACCAACATATATGAAATCTTTGTAAGCTTTAAGTGATTTGGCATATAGAGATTGATTAGGGTTTCCGGTAGTTGGATCGACATGTTACTCATAAGTGTATTCTTTAAGTGTGTGCAAGTCGGGTTGACAAATCTTACATTGCGATACTGGGCAACCTGCAGTATGCATAATTTAGCAGGCAACTCATTTAACATCAAGAAGATGTATACCTGCCCAAGAGAGCACAATGTCCATCTATGCGCATTTTAAATACAAGAGCGCCCAACTCATTACTTCCAGGCGCGGATCTGCGGGAAGAGGGGGGGGGTTGAGCAAGGTTGGAAGACCCCCCTAAAGAGTATAAACAATGTAGGGGTGTCTTATTTTATTTTTACGGTTAAGGACAAACCAAGAGATTAAATGGCTTCACCAACAGCGAAAACTGCATGTAGCGATACCTTAATTCAAATTTCCAGGGACCCCTCTGCATATAATCGTAGATCCACCTGTGATCACAGCAAACACGCGCGCTTCAGCAGTAAACCCCATCGGTTGAAAAGAGCCATGCAGGTCGGGAGTGTTCATTTCGCTTAAAACAACGCGACTGTAACGAAGTATTGCACGCCAATTGTTTAAATATTCAATGTTTTGTATATTTTGCACGATGTTCAAAACATGTGTTCAATACTTTACATTATACACGTATCTGCAATGTCCAATTTACATGTATATGTGCAGTGTCCAAAATATAATGTGCGACGTCCCGCATGTATATTCTTAATGTATACGTGTATAACGTGTATATGAGTAGTGGGGGGACAGCCTGGCACAATTTGACCAAGCGTCATAATTATGATCATTAAAATATGAATAGGAATGAGGTGTAGGGTAAACTGTATGGCACAAGATGACATGGGGATGAATAGGAACAGCATAGGGTCGGAAAGTGTGGTACAAGATGACTTTGTGTATGGGAAAAATATAAATAAGGCATATCATGGGTAAAAATTGTCGACACGATTTTATTTTTCTTATGAAATAGGAAGATACAAAATACCTCATGATCATAGGTGGTTTGCTGTCTTGGAAAAATACTGACTGGACCACCAGGAGGTCCTAAAGTAATTAAGGAGTAGGAAGCAATATAAGCCCTGAACCGCCGTACGTGCCGCCGGGTAATGAGAGGGATAATTCCTAGACAATTGACTAAACGTAGTGGGTGGGCTGTGAAGGCGTACTATTGTGTTAATGATCATATTGTGTACGTTGGAAGTGAGCGTTAGTCTTAATCCTTGGACACTAAAGGAGAGAAGGCGCCCAAATGCTAACGGTCTTGCGTTCGGCTTACTATGGTTACTGTGATCTGATCGATACAGGACGAAGTCCCTGTTGTCCCTGGCTGAATTTCTTAATCCTTTGAACTTTGAACGGTTACCCTGTACCTGTATACGGTTTTACAAGTTCTGTTGGCTGCCCTTGATACGTAGAGGAATAGCTCGAAAGAACTCAGCCACCAATCAACGAGGAACCCAGGTGCCGTTATTGGAAGAATTTTTTTGTGTTTTTTGAGTTTTTTTTTTGGACAAGTGCAATCACACTAACAACAATACGAACAATACAAGAGCAATGTGAAGCAATGCAAATAGCAAACTGAACATTAAAAGAGCAAGTTGAACAATTACAAGAGCAAAAGAGCGATAAAAGTATAATTTGAACAATAAAAAGAGTAATTTGAACATTAAAAAGAGCAAAAGAGCAATAAAAGAGCAAGAGAGCAATAAAAGAGCAATAAAAAAGCAAAAGAACAATAAATAGAGCCAAATAATTAAACAATGAAATAAGTCAATCACAAGCAGTGAAATACACATACATGTACACGTGTATATTTGTTATATATTGAACGATTTTATTTGTTTGTGTCATTTAAATGTCTTCCTTCCAAGGGTCAACATGAACGGTCTTTCTGCAGTCCAGCCCTATGCTTGTCACCAGTGTGACAAATGGTTTAGACGGAAGTCTAATCTATAGATATAAACGGAAAATATCCACGTTGAGGACGAAACGGACATGAATGAAGTTGACGCTGATTGGGAATCTGTTGAGGAGGTTGTTGACGAAACCTCGGATGAAGATAGTTCAGAATTGGAAGACAATGTCACCAGCCAAGATTGGTTGACTGAAGCCAGAGAAACAAACAGGGAGATGTGGGATGAAGACTATGACAAGTAAGTCAACGAATGCATGGATGAAGATCAAGCCAGGCAGAAGGCAAACAGAACGACCCTCTGGGCTGTTAAGCAAGACTTCTTCGACAACCATAAGGAGTTTCTGTCAGGTAACCTATATTTGAGGGATACTGAAACTCACAAGGATATTGTGGATGATCTCGAAGGCAAACTTGATAAAGGCATGAAATTCAACAAAGCCTTGACGAGAGTTTTGCCTAAACTTGCTGATAAATTTGCCGGACTGTTTCAGCTAAATGGCGAAGAGGAGCATGCCTCAAAGATAACATTCAATAGAGAAAAATGGTTCCAAAAAAGAATGAGTACATGTAATGCCTCTGATTTCCAATTTAATTAATTAACAAGCTCCCGGTAATCACTCTTGTGGTAATTCTGAAAATTCCTATGATAATTATTGTAAAAAATCAATGACGAACAACGGGAAATAAAACAGTACCAGTACCAGCCTACTAGAAAACAGTATGTGAATTCCACTGAATTTGTTTTGTGTTCTTACCTGCCGGTATGACTATCGAATAATAATTCTCGGGTCTTATACTGCATGGCAGGGAACTTCTGCACAATATTCCACAGCACGACAAATAGATTTACCACTTTGCTACGTCCCCAACTTACGCCATGCCATCCCCAAGGATTCATAATTTTAAATAATGATGTATTTTACATTTAGGTTCCACAATAAAGAACAACAGTAACGCTCGGTTCTGTCTGAATTTGTAAACCATAGGGATTTGCGCTTCCTATTCTTACTTTAGGACCTCTTGGTGGGCCAGTCAGTATTTTTCCATGACATTACACCACCTATGACTCATCAGTAGTTTTTATCAATGTCAAATTGTGTCGAAAAGTTTTACCCTTATGATATGCCTTATTTATATTTTATCTCATACACAAAGTCATCTTGTACCACACTTTCTGACCCTATGCTATTCCTTTTCATCTTGTGCCATACATTTTACCCTACACCTCATTCCTATTCATATTTTTATGATCATAATTATTATGCTTATGCATATTGATGTGACCTTTTGCTATTTTTGTCGCAAAGGTCTAATTGTTCCAGAGTGACCCTCTCCATTACTATTATGTGCAATGTCCAATATATGCGGAATTTGACATGACATATGTGCAATCTTGAAATGTATGTGCGATGCTTCCACATATACTGTATGTTCGATGTCCAGGAGACGTCAGGGTTCATACAGGAAGTCAGGGAGCCAGACTATAAGTACTGAATAGTATGATAACTTAGAAGATCCCTGGCCGTGTCTTGAAGTAACGCGACTCTACCGCGAGTTTCAATAGCCGCTTCCGTTTTATCGCTCAATCGGCTGGTTTCTACCGCATGACATTTAGACTCATACAACCAAAGCAAAGCAACGGGAACCACGGATGGTCCTTCTTAGCAGCGGAATTTCACTGTTAAATTTCGCTAAAGATAATGATGAACTGCGAGAAATACGCTTCACCGTGAAAAAGTGACAGGTAGGCCTGCATTGTCAAATTTTATTTTGTTTAACATTATAACAATGTTCAGTTTGTTGCACATTGACAAAAAAAAAATAAATAAGACACAAAACAAGATTTCACAATTTCAAATCTAGAAATTCTGACTATTCACAATCACACAACATCAAAATGCCAGCAAAGCAATCGAATACACAGATTAAATTCATTTTCAAATCAAAACCACCTTAATACAATCATAATAACATGGCATCTTGCCTGACCCGCAGCGGTACACGGAGGTCCCGGGATATCTGACCAGCAGCATCGGGTCCTAAAGAGTGGAAGAAGTCGGCCTGCTGACGCAAAACGAAAGTTCAGTTCATAAAAGTCTCGTACGAGACGAGCATCGGGCCCGCCGAAAAATCAGAAAGTTGATAAAACTAGCACCACAACCAAAAAGGTGATGAAACCAGCACCACAGCCGTTGAAACCGGTCATAGATGTGGCAGCCAGTCGAACGAATCTGCCACATAAAGCATGGCCCGTAGAGTCATCAGCCCGACGACGTAAAAACACTACTGGTAGATACAGCCATCGTCAGCACGGAACCCTAGCCCTGTAAATCTGCATGGCTCCCATTTGGGTCTCTAAATCCCCACAACCTCCACCGTAGGTTCAAAATAAAATGCTGATGTCACATCTTTTCCGCAGTAATAACCCCTTTATATAAATTTTACCCAGACCTCATGAAGGTCTGAGGTTAGAAATTACTTTGTGTCCGTTTTCTCTGTTTTCCTAATGCATACTCTGTGTGCACCATTTTATTGCTCTATATCCCTCTCTACTGAAACTTTAAGCTAGACAATAAATGTTTATATCTTTCCTGTGTGCCCAAGCTGTAACACCTTGGTCTTCTTCTTGGAAGTGGGATTAAGTGAGAGGGATCAAGGGAGCGGGTTGCCTTACGCCCCTTCTACCCTCCATCCCATAATTTCCCCTCCAGGATGTCCAATCAGGGCGTTACCCCTTGTGGTGGTAACAAGACTATTCAGTGGGAGGGCAAACTGGTCTGGGAGTCTAGCAGGAGTTTGTGGGCTACATGTGCCCAAAATTGCTGGCCATGTGCCATTTCCACATCTTGTCAGCAAACAGTGAAGCAATCCGCTCCTTGTCCAGTATTTTAGAGCAAAAGACAAAGAAAACTGTTGTTAGTACATTGTAGCTCTAAAGTTTGGAAGTCCAAATTCCTGCAGGTAGGACTTTCACCAAGCTGCTGTTCCGCAAATATTGAATGTTGGCTCTTTTAGGTAAGTCAAGTTTATTCCAATTTGAGTAGATAGATTGTTAGCTTAGAAAAGTGTATTGGTAGTCATTTGCTATGATGTCTTTTTGAACCTTTGTCAAGTTTTAATGTCAAGAACTTTGTAAGCTTAATAGCCTGTACATAGTAGGAAAATGTTCTGGTACATTTTGCTGTGGCTTTAGGCAAAGTGAGAAACAGTCCCTTATAAAGTTTTGTTTAATGTTACTGAATGCAGAACGTACATGCGTCTTTGTTGAGAGATCTCTAGCATGTAGCTCTTGGCTGGTACCACGTGCATTCTCTTAACAGCCTTTGGCTTGTTTGAAGATTTATTTTCTTATGATTGCCCTTAACCTAGAGAACTGCTTTATGGAATATTTGAAAGCTTGCTTCGACTTGGATTGTCGAAATTACATATGTATAGTCAGCGTTGCTTTTTATCATCCTCTTTTGTTCAGTCCGTGGCAGCGCTCGGACTGCTTGCGTTCTGTGTAGGCTTGCTTTCGAGGCAGTGAGCCGTGCAGTGCTCATTGCTTTTTTTGACTTTTGCATATTGGGTTGGCCTGCTTGTGAGGCAGTGAGCCATGCAGTGCCTATTGCTTTTGTGCTTTTTATTCAGCACATTCCTCTTTGGGGCTTGGTCCTGTGCTGTCTTGTGCTACGTCCTGTGACCTGTCGCGTCGCCGGCTATCGTTCCCACGCTGGGCGGTGGGTCGGCGGCAGGGACCGGGGTGTGGTGCTGACAGTGCGGGCCTGTAGGCTTGGGGTTCGTCTGCTCTACGTTTGTGGGCGGCCTTGGGTCTGTAGGTTCTTGCCTCGGTGTTTATTTCTGTTTTATGCATATCAGTTGTTATCTGTGTTTTGGGACTTTTCCTGGGGTTTCCTTTGGAGGCTGGGACTCGGGCTGTCGTCTGCTGTGGCTTGTGACCGGTCAAGTCGGTGACTACAGTCTCAACGTTGGGCTGTGGGTCGGCAGCGGGAAGCGGGCCGTGGTGTCGATAGTTCGCGCCTATAGTTTTTGGGGTTCGTCTGCGCCACGTTTACGTGGGCGGCCTTGGGGCTGCAGGGCCTGGCCTCTAATTTTTTCCCGATATGCGGGCGGTAGCTATCTGGATTTGCCATTTTTGGGGTGGGCCAGTGTGTGTATTCCTACTACTTGTATAAAATGTTTGTGTGTGTCAGGGTCAGCAGTTGTGACTCCCCCTTGTATATACACCCTAAGACATATCCTTGCGACGATATGGTTCTCTTAGATAGGAGAAGACAGCAGTCGTGTTTTCTCCTGTTTCTGTTATTTAATTTTGATTGTTTGAGTTGTTAGGCAGTTGCTACCAACACTTCATTTCCCCTACCCTTTTTGTATCTTCTGTTAGATCATGCCTTCATCGGCCTTTTCTAACCGACGTCTCCGCGCTGCCAAAGTCAAATTTGATTGCAAGGAGGCGCCTAGTGATGCTTTTAGGATCCTCCCTGGTCTTGGGGTATCCCCCCAGACCATTTGGAGGCTCTCCAACCGCTGCCCGGGGCCAGATTTGATATTAGCTTCAAGTCTGCTGTCCTCCTGCACTTGAAGTTCATGCCTGGTTTTGACGGGCTATAGATGGATGTCATGTACTGTCTTGTGGCGTCCTCAAGCTCGTCACGGTTAAGTATGTGGAATTAGACCTGGACGACAATGTCGCCCGGTATATTTTATCCAAATACGGTAAGATTCACAAGGGGGGGTCATGACCTACCCCCAAGGTCATGACCTACCCCCAAGAGCCCTCCGTCTTTACTGGCACCCGGCAGTACCTTATGTCTGGTGTCTTGAATATTCCATCAGTCCTCCGTATCGGGAATCGCAACGCCTGGATTGGCTTCTCTGGTCAGACCAGGACTTGCGCCTGATGAGGGGACCCTGGCCACATTGCCTCGGCCTGTAAGGCCAGCAAGTTCTATAAATGTCTGGAAGTAGGGCCTACGTCCTCGGAGTGCCCCAACCGAGTGAAATGTACCTACAGCGGGGACGAGGGCCACAACTTCCAGAGTTGTCCCAAGTCCTTCGCAAGTAAAGTCACTCCCTCCAACAGGTGGGCTGAAGTGGTTGGTCAGAAGGCACCTGCTTCCGGCCAACGGGCCACGGCCAGTTCCCCTCCCTCGCCTCACCCCGAGTCGAGAGAGGTTGATGTGACGGGGGTCGATGGCACGGCTCCCTCCTCGTCGCCCGACGAGTCGGACTTTGAGTCCGTGCCGTTGGTCGCCGAGAAACCAAGGACTCCCTCTTTTTCCTTGCCCCGGCGGCCGTGTATTCGGTGTTTTAGCCTGGTTGGCCAGCCCGGTGGGGGCCGAGCCCGAGTGGATTTGTTTCCACTGTAAAGGGGCAGTGTCGCCAGATAGACGTTTAAACTTTGCAGGTTGCGCAACCTGCACTGGCATCAACAGACGACCTTTCGTCGTCTGCGGCGATGCCAGTGTCAGGCCGAGGCCTTGAATAAGGCCGCCCAGTTTCTCCATGCTAAAGGGACCAGGAGGCGGTCTCGGGGAAAGCGGGTTCGTCCCGCTTCCTCGGACTCCGACTCCTCCTGTCATATTACTCGTGCCCGCAAGGAGTCGTTTGGGACCAAAAATTTCGGAGAAATCCGGTTCTGACATGGGGGGGGGGACGGTATTCAAGATCCCTCCCCTGGCTCTGTCCAGCCCTCTCAGCCGCCGGGGGCAGTCTCAGCCCCCCTTATCAGAACCCCCTTCCGCATCCGATGCGGACGAGGGAGTCGCTCCCACTCCTCTCTTTGATAGCCCTGATCCTCTGGATGGTTCCCCCGCGGGGGACTCATCCTATATTTAATTTTTTCTTTTGTCACTGTTCATCTCCCTTGCTCGCTCGACATGGTCACCACCCTTACTTTAAACGTTAACGGGATGCGTGACCCGGCGAAGAGGCGACGGGATTTTAGATTTTGCGAACATTGTGATATCTGCTGTTTGCAGGAGTGCCATATTGCTGGGCAGGACGATCTTGTCTCATGGCGGGCCGAGTGGAAAGGGAAATTTTTGCCAGTTTTGGCACATCCCCTTCCCGGGGTACTGTTATTCTCCTGCCGGAAAGGAGCCGGTTTGCTTTTACCGATCCTTCCTTCGATTCTGAAGGAAGGATTGTATCTGGTATTTTGCGTATCCCTGGGGGAGGGAGGGGAGTGTGTGTCTACACAGTTTACGCCCCCACTGATCCCGGAGCGCGCCGCATTTTCGTTTTTGAGGTCGATTCTTATTTGTTTGGCAATTTCCAAGTACTCCTGCCGGGGATTATAATTGTGTTTCTGACTTGAACCTGGACCGTCGGGGCTCGTCTTCCACGTCTTGTGGCTTGGGGGCCGATGAGCTGGGTCACCTCCTGCTGGATATTGGTCTGTCCGACTGCTGATGGTCCCTTTTCCCGTCGGCTCTATCTTTCACATGGCGAAACACGGCCAACACGGCGTCGAGTCGGCTGGATCGATTTATGCATCCGAGTTGGTCGACGTCGTGTCTTGTCACCATGTGCCGTGTCATTTCAGCGACCATGGTGTTCTCTGTCATTTTTCCTTTCCCGATAATACCGTCAGGGTTTTTGGAAATGCAATGTTTCCATCCTGGCCAACTACTTTCAGTTGGCTTTCCGCCAGGCTTATGAGGGAGGGTTGGCGGACTCTCAAGGAGGGGTTTGCTTCTGAGCTCCTCTGGTGGGATGATGTCAACTCCCGGGCTAAACGTTTATTGTTTCGTTTTGTTGCTGCAAGGCACGGATTCAACGGAAACCTCAAAAGACACTTTTGTCCCCCCTGCGTTCCGTCGTCTCACAGCTTAACTCTTGGGACATAAGTCCAGCGCTTAAGTTACAACATGGTACCCTCAAGGGTGCCTTGACTGACTTGGACGACTTTGACCCGGAAGGGGCCCGCATCTGTTCTCGGGATTGGGATCTCGCGGAAGGAGAAAAGCCGTGCAGGTATTTTTTCAGCTTGAGACTTCTCAAGTCGAATCCAAAGTTATTTCTTCTGTTCGTAATTCTGTTGGGGACGTTATTTCTTCTCCGGAAGGTGTTTCCGCGGTTTATCGCGATTTCTTTTGTGATTTGTTTACTGGAGAACCCGTTGAGGTTTCTCAGCAGTCCCCCTTTTTAGATTCGTTGTCCTCATATTTGGGCGAGGATCAACGGAATGATCTAGACAGCCCCCTGCCGCTGTCCAAGCTTGATGCGGCTTTCCGCAGCATGGCTAATGGAAAGACCCCCGGTGGCGACGGTCTTCCGAAGGAGTTTTATGCTACTTTTTGGGACTTGATGGACCCCCATCTGCTGGGGGTCTTTCGTAGCGCCTTCTCTGAAGGTGTCTTGTGCAAGTCCCAACGTTTGCGACTCCTGACTTTGTTAGATAAGGGGGGGGGGAGATCTGCTTCATCCCAAAATCAGGCGTCCCGTCTCCCTCCTTAATGTGGACTATAAGAAAATAGCAAAGTCCCTGTGTCTTTGGCTGGGTCGGGTTTTACCCGACATTGTCGGTCCATTCCAGACTTGTGGCGTCAAGGGGCGGTCCATCCACGACAACATCAGATTGCTTGGGGATCTGGTGGAGTTTGTGGATGGGCGAAACCTTGACTGTCTTATCATTTCCGTTGACCAACAGAAGGCCTTTGACCGCGTTAATTGGAGTTTTTATTCATTGGTCCTCGACCGCTTTGGTTTTGGGCCTGATTTTTGGCACTGAATTGAACTGCTGTATACTGAGATCTCCAGCGCCGTTTTAATCAACGGGCTTCCTTCAGACGATTTTTTGTCTCCAGGGGTGTGAGGCAAGGTTGTCCTCTCTCCCCGTTGTTGTATGTTCTTTTTATTGAGCGTTTTGCTCAGACAATTATTAAGGACTTGCGCCTGTCTGGCTTGAAACTTCCCAGGGCCAACAGCTTGGAGTGCCGAATTTTGCAGTATGCCGACGACACGACCTGCATTGTTAGGGACTTTTTATCGGTCTGGCGGCTGTTTTGTAT